ATTTTGTTTGAAACTATCTCATTGGTATTTGTTTCTCAATAAAGTTATGGAAAATAAAATAAAATGAAATGAAAAATATATAGTAAATACAAAAAAAAAGAAAAGAAAAGAAAACCATGGTGTGTTACTATGAAGTTCTAGGCATCCAGAGCTATGCCTCTCCCGAGGACATCATGAATGCATACCAGATCTTGGCACTACAGTGGCACATAGACAAAAATCCTGAGAATAAAGAAGAAGCTGAGCAAAAATTCAAACATGCGGCTAAGGCATATGAGGAGCAATCAGATGCTAAAAAACAGGACATCTATGACAAATATGGCAAAGAAAGTTTAAATGGTGGTTCAGGAGGTGGACGTCACTTTGACAGTCCATTGGAGTTTGGGTTCACATTCTGGAACCCAGAAGATGTTTTCAGGGAATTTTTTGGTGGAAGGGACCCATTTTCATTCAACTTCTTTGGTAATGAAGACCAGTTTGAAGACATTTTAGGGAACCAAAGGGGTCCCCGAGGAAGCAGAAGCCGTGGTACAGGCTCTTTTCTCCACCTTCAGTGGATTTCCATCCTTTGGAGGTGGATTTTCTTCGTTTGATACAGGATTTACTTCATTTGGGTCCCTAGGTCATGGGGGCCTCACTTCATTTTCATGCACATCGTTAGGCGGCAGCACAAAGGGTAACTTCAAATCTATATCAACTTCTACTAAAATCATCAATGGTAGAAAACTCACCACAAAGTGAATTGTCGAGAATGGTCAAGAAAGAGTAGAAGCTGAAGAAGATGGACAGTTAAAGTCCTTAACAGTAAATGGTAAGGAGCAGCTGCTGCACTTGGATAACAAGTAATTCAATGCACACATTTAACAGAAATGTTAACTATAATAAGCACCATTTGAGGATTAACAGGAAAATTTTTTTTGAAGATTTCAGATGAACTCAATTTTCAGTATAACTGTACCTAATCTAAAGTATTTATAAACAGCTCATCGGAGCCCCTCTTTGTCATAGACTTTTGAGTTTATTGTTTGGACCACACAGTAGGACCACTTTTTGTCTTTAAAATTGTTGTGATCTCAATATGCACTTTGCTTTTTATTAAATGTGATCCAAGGTAAGCCTTGACTCTTGAGTAGCGCTAGGACAAGACTGTACTCTAACACCAGCATGGATCTGCTTTCCGTTGTGTTTGAAACATGAGCCAAGCAGTGTCCAACTGCTGTGAAGTGAACACTGCCAGGACAGGTCCTCCACAGAAACACTTTCCATTTTTTTCAGTGTTTAGTAATAAAAGATATGCATTAATGATAATGCATTTCTGGTTCAATCTAAATTTAAGGACGTTTTCTAGTTGTGCATGGATGCTGGCAACTTAGTAAAGTTTGACAGTTGTTTAAATGTGTAATGTTAAGCCTAGCTTTATAAAAGCTGGTAAATTGGGTCTCTGTCATTTGCTTTAAAAACAAAAACAAACAAAAAAAAGAAAATAGGAATGTGTTTGATGCATTCTTTCTGGAGTGGGATCTACCAAAAAAAAAAAAAAAGTCTCAACTTGCTATAGTTATCCTCAAATAGATCATAGCAGTACACCCTTCTTCCTGAACCCTCACAAAATTCTCATTCCTGGAATATATAGATAGATAGATAGATAGATATAAATATAGATATAGATATAGATATAGATATAGATATAGATATAGATATAGATATAGATATATAGTCGGGTGCATATTTGGAAAATAAATCACTACATAGTCAACAGTTATTATATAGTTTGTTGTATCATTGGACCCAGGAAATTTTAAAGTAAAATTATACAAAAATAGTACAGGCTGCTAATCCTTTATTTTAAATCATTGTGGATAAATGAGTTTTGCCGTACAGAAAAATTAAAATGCCCCAATAACTCTCTGCAGTTCTAATATCCAAAAGTTCTAGAAAACAAGATAATTTCACTATATGTATGACAAACCATTTTGACTCCAAAAGGTTACCCGAACTGTAAGAATTTATATACTACTTTTTACATTTTGCTGCCAAAATAATTATATATGGGATATTATGTGCTATTCCATTTCTACTTGGGTTGTTACATAGTATGTTTTATGTATATTTTCTAAATGGTTTTTCTTAAATACAAAACATTCTGCCATTTGTCAACTAGTGATTGTTAATGTACCCTTATCTTTTATCTCACATTCAGTTCTGTTAGGAAACTAACCAGCACATTCTTTAAAATATATTACCTCCGGGGCTGGTGAGATGGCTCAGTGGTCTAAAGCACCTACTTAAAACAAGCTTAGCAAAGCACAGGGTCCGCAGTTCAATCCCCCAGCACCACATGCCAGCCAGCCCCGCCCCCTGGTGGGCTGAGCTGGCCACACACACACACACACACACACACACACAAATTAAAAAAAAGATAAAAAAATAAAGTATATCACCTCCATACTTATACTATGCCATTATTTGATGATTTATCTATCATTTACTTACTTAAAAACAGAGCCAAGTTTCTATTTGATTTTCTATCTTTACCACCCAGCACAATGCCTGGGCCTAATGAACACTCATAAACACGGAGAAAAATAATAGAAGATTCAGGGATGGGGAGGGAATTGTAGGTTTTTTTTTTTTATTTTAGGGAAGGGTGTACAGGGTTTTCAGGGTCTCACTACTAGATCTGACTCAGTGATCCGCCTGTTCACAGCCTCCCAAGAGCTGAGATTACAGGTGTGTGCCACAACTCCCAGTCTCAATTGCCATCTCAGTGCACCCCGGGGGTGGGTCCAGCATGGCAGGCCAAGGGATCAAACCCCCGCCCACCCCGTGTCTGCTTGCAGGCACTTTAATCCGCTGAGCTATTTGGCCAGCTGTGAACTGTAGGATTTATACAAGTCCTACATTTGAAATTTCTAATTTTAGTTTATGGAACAGTTTAATGTATGCAGAAAAAATACATAAAAATGATTAAAAAGAAAAGTTGTCTTGTTGTATTTCCTTTTTGTTGGTACATGTCCACAGTGCACAGTTATATTCATCGTTGGGAGCTGGTACATGCATATACTGCATCTTCATTCTTCTTCTGCCCCCTCACCCCTCCCACCCCACCCTTCTCCTTCCAACTCTTGGTTCCCTTCCCATTTGCAAAAGATGTATTTATATTTTCCCTTTAATTCTTCTTTTTGCTGTACTTCCTTAACAGAAATCTATGTTATATGCATATATCATAAAATGAAAATAATAATAGATGTTACCATTATTCTTCCAGGAATGGAATTCCAGATGTTTGATGTGCAGATATAGGTATTCAACTGCCAGTTCATTCTAGTACTCATTTCCATTTCTGAGGGTTGACACCACTTTATGTCCTTTCTGATTGAAAAAAGATAGTATCTTCAATAATAGCATTTAAGAAATTGAGTGTCCACATGCATAAGAATTAAATCAGACCTGGGCTGGTGAGATGGCTCAGTGGTCTAAAGCACCTACTTAGAACAAGCTTAGCAAAGCACAGGGACCGCGGTTCAATCCCCAGCACCACATGCCAGCCAGCCCCGCCCCCTGGTGGGCTGAGCTGGCCACACACACACACACACACACACACATACATAAATAAATAAATTTTAAAAAAAAGTGAGGAGTGGGGGCTGGTGAGATGGCTCAGTGGTCTGGAGCACCTATTTAGAACAAGCTTAGCAAAGCACAGGGACCACGGTTCAATCCCCCAGCACCGCATGCCAGCCAGCCCCGCCCCCTGGTGGGCTGAGCTGGCCACACACACACACACACACACACAAATAAATAAGTAATTTTTTAAAAAAAAGAATTAAATCAGACCTTTGTTTCATATGACATATAAACTGGATTAAAGACGAATGCAAGACCTGATACTGCAAAGCTATGCACTACACCATAGTTTGTCTGCAATGTCTCCCACAATCCCATGTGTTGAAAATTTGTTCCCCATCATATGGCACTGGTGGGAGGTGCAGCGACCCTTAGGTCATCAGAAACATGCACTTGAGGGGGGATACTGGGATTCAGGATCCACCTTCTAATCTTCACTTCCAGATCACAAAGTGAATGACTTTGACCTGCCACACGTTCCCACAAGGACATGCTGCCACAGGCCAAAAGGAGCAGGCCAACTGATCATGGATTCAAATCTTTAAAACTTGTGAACCAAAACAAAACTTTTCTCTTTTAAATTGACTACTTTAACAAAAAACTAACAAAAAACTAACACAGAGATATAAAAATTATGGATGAAAAACTACGTGGCATTGGTTGGGGCAACGGATTTTGGATTTGACTCTAAAGCCTCAGACAATAATAGCAAAAGTAGTTAACTGGGATTACACCAAACTAAAAGACTTCTGTATAGAAAAGGGAAACAAGAAAGTACAGTGGAAACCTATGACACATATCCCATAGCAGGCTATATCACTGAAAGCTTTTGTTTTGTTTGCCTTCTCTCCCCCCCCTTGGCAGAACCAGGGACTGAACTCAGGACCTTGCACTTGCCAGGGAAGTGCTTATTCCACTGAGCCATCTCCCTGGCCCCCCTTGTTTGTCTTCTTGAGACAGGTTCTCACTATGTATCCCAGGCTGGCCTCAGACTCATGACCATCCCTCTGCCTCAGCCTCCCAAGTGCTGGGATTACAGGTACGCACCCTGTATCCAACTCTCCTCCAGTATACAGCCACTAGATCACGCCACTTTTGCCCTATTGTATTTCTCTGTAACTAGCTACTCATCACCCCGGCATAAAAATACACTGATAGAACTGTTTCCTTATGTCTTTTTTTTTTTGTATTTTTTAAGGGAAGGGTCTACAGGGTGTTCAGGGTCTCCCTACTAGATCAGACTCGTAGTGACCTGCTTGTTTACAGCCTCCCAAGAGCTGGGATTACAGGTGTGTGCCACTATGCCCAGTCTCAATTGCCATCTCAGTGTGTCCCGGTGGTGGGGCTGGCATGGTAGGCCTGGGAATCGAACCCCTGGCCCCTGTGCCTGCTTGCAGACACTTTAATCTGCTGAGCTATTTGGCTGGCCTTCTTTATGTCTTAATTTCCTTAAAAGGCTCCCATGCTATGTAAAACTTAAAGCTGTATGCTTTTCTTGTAAAAAAAAATTTGAAAAGGTCTTTAGCTATCAGGTAAATGTTGGTGGCACAAATTTTGATTTCTAGCCCTGATATCCAGACTCACATGTATACTTCCTCTTCAATGTCTAATATGTAGCTCAAACATATGATGTCAAGTAGAACTCTAAATTCAACTTACTCAAGTTATTTCTCATCTTTCTCACCACAGTATGCTACAACACTGTCCTTGCAGCACCAAACTTTATTCCCTCTTCTTAATTTTATTCCCTCTTCTTCTCATCCCCAAATCAAATGTTATCACATACACCTTCCAAATGTATCCCAGATGCATCTATTTTTCACTCTATAACTTGCATGGCAAATGCTTTACTTAGAACTGTGATATCTATAATAAATAAGATTGGTCAACTGTTTCCTTCAATCTTCATGAGATTTTGACATTAAAGTTATGTCACCTTATTCAGTGAACTGGAGATCTTCTGTTTCCTATAGACTTTCAAACATGTAGATTTCAAGCAGCTGCTCAGAGTATTTCACTAATAAATTATTTCAATCTTTCCCACATTTGGTAGTTCTTTTATTCCCAATACTGTGTATCTTTTGTACTTAATTGGAGAAACTTTGATTTTTTTCTTTTATTGGCAGAACTGGGGATTGAACTCAGGCCCTTGCACTTGCCAGGGAAGCACTTATTCCACTGAGCCATCTCCCCGGCTCCTGGAACTTTGAATTTAAAATGAAATAACTTTTGTATTCTTTTAGTTTTGTTTGAAATTGTATTAATTTAAGGTTTTATATTTCTACACTTACCTTCTAACTATTTTTGTTATTTTCTATTTTGTTAAGAACTAAATGCTTTTTTTTTCTTTTTGGTACCATGGATCAAACTCAGGACCTTGTACTTGCCAGGCAGATGCTTATGCCACTGAGCTATATCTCCGACCCAAGGACTAAATGCTTTTTATTAAGGAATTCTCTTTTTAAACAATCAAGACACCTAAAGCTACACAGTTTCCTCTTAAGTGTAGCTTCCAGAGTGTTCCATTAGCTTTGCATACAATTTTTTCATTAACTTTATATAATGAGTAATTTTTCTTTTGATTTTCTCATCATCAAAAGGACTATTTTTTAAGGGATTTTTTTTTTCTTCCTCGAATGCCTTCAGGGCACTTTTGGCCAGCGGGAGAGTTGTGAGGTTCGAACTCCAGGAACCTGAGGCTGACAGCTTTGTGGAAGCAGCCACTTAAAGGACTGAGCTAGGGCCAGGCCCCCAAGGACTATTTTTTAATATCCCAAGTGGTTACATTTTTCATAGCCAACTTCTATTAATAAATTTTAAATTTTTTGAATTGTGAGAGAAGGTAGTCCATACAATTAGTTTAAAATTCTGTAAAGTTTTTATTGGTCTTCATGTGTATTACTGCTTTGAACAAGTAAACAATCAAAGTATGTATATTCACATTTATTATTGTTATTTATTGTACATATTCAAAACTTTTGCCTTTATCTTTTATCTACTGGATCCATCTGATAATAAAAGTGGCTTTATATTTATATTTTTCTCAAGTTTCTCATATATCTCTACTAATTTTTATTTATGTATGTAGCTTACTGCACATAGTATTAGTACTTATAGTTCCTCTTATCCTTCTTCTCCTGTTTTTATACTTACATTGAATATTACTACTTGCCAGTATTATCTTTTTATCTTCCATTTACCTGGCTTTTGTTTGTTTGGTTGAAGTCCTTTTTTTTTTTACAGGCTAAGTCATTTAAATAACATTGGCTATCTTATGACAGTCAGGAGTTTCAAATAGTAATTTCATTATCTTTGCTTAATAAAATTAAAATGTCCATTGCTCATTTAAAATTATCTATAGTACAAAGTAAAAAAGATCTAAGAATACAAGCTTTGACAAACGCCAATGTTTAAGACGTGCCTATAACCCAGAAGGAAAAAAATACAGAAGAGCTTTGTAATACGGCATACATTAACAAGAAATATTACTTGCAAATTTGGAATCTTATACAACAACTAAATACACCTTACTTGTTATAATTACTTAAGTAAAGATCCACATATTATAGGGTTTTCTAATGTGATTTTAAAACTTCTACTTGTTACTCTTAAGAGCGCCTTCATCTAGCATATATTTCCTACCTTTTTAATATGTGTATCAATTCATTACATTTTATATGATTTAAAGTATCTGTAGTGAAGAAAAGTTTATTTTCTAAAAGATCAAGGAAACATCTGATATGCACCTGACATGAATGGTTCAGGAGTAAAAAATCTGCCATTTCAACTCATTGCCTACAAGTACACAGTATGACACCTTGTGAATCCTATGTCTGGAAATGAAATCTAGCTGAAAACCTGTTAGTTTGTGGCAAATTAAATTTTAAATGTAAGACCACCCCTACAAACTGCTCTGCCAAGTACAGTAATTAATCGTTTTTGTTGAGATTCAAAGAAGACACATGGGAATAACCTCACAGCTGTTCTGACCTTGGGCAAGTCTGAATGCTTTCTTCCCATCACAGGAACACGAACAGCCCCCTGGATAATCACCACGCAGTTAAGCACACAGCCTCAGAGCACTCATCTACATCTGCACAAGCCTCTGACTTGGGCCTGTGTTTGTAGCATTCAGGGCATTCACAGACACAGATTGAACACAGCAAGAACACACAGACTCGTGGTGTGTTCTTGCTCACAGATTTATGGTTGGCTTCCTAAAACATTTGTCCCCATCTCTACTGTCTTCTACCGGAACTCGGGTACCTTCCAGGTGCATTACCACAAATCTGGCTGCAACCTCCATTTACGTTTAAGGGGTCTTTGCATTCATTTATATCAAATTCACACATCTTTCCTTGCCAGCCTAGTCTCCAAATGTAGGTGAATGGAGCCTGGCCAGCTACACAGCTCATATTCCCATCTTCATCACACGTTAGAGCATTACACTGATCTGGATAGCTGAAGGAAACAGACGCAGCTTGTGGGTGCCTCAGTCCATAACCAGCTGGCTCTAAGACAAGGTGGTGAGGGGCAACAGTTTAAGGTGGCAGAAGACAGCAGAAGCAGCAAGAGCAAATGGGGGAGCACTGTTTTTAAATAATAAAAACTTACTTGTTTACTGCATGTTTTCCAAAGTTACGATCTACATAAAAAAACATAAATTTTATATTATTTTGTGTAAAACATTTTTCTTTAAAATGTTTAAAATATAAATCTTAAAAATAGATGCTTACTTTCTACCATCCATATACCATCCATGCTGGTACCATCCATGTTGTTTGCTCTAATTAATCCACTTTGCTGCCTGTCTCTCACAGATTTATGGGCCTCTGAAGGGAATGTCAGTTGTAACATGTTACATAGGAGAAAAAAATCAGAAAAGGAGCATAAACCAAACCTATATCCATATAGTAATGACATACACATATCCACCTAGTACAAATTAACAGAGTTCAAGTTATTAGGCAAATAAAGTAATAATAAATTATAACTAAAATATTGTTAAATAATTTATTCAATAAATTTTAATTGAGTACTTTTTATGCATCAGACACTACACTAGATGCAGCTCAGGCCAAAAATATAGAATACCACAGCTTTAGGCAGTTTACATTCTACTAGGGACAGAAAGTAACCAAGAAAAATAAATTTTATTTATTTTCATTTTGTGGTGTTGGGTATCAAACCCAAGACCTCACTTACGAAAAAGTAAATTTTACAATATGCTAGACAAGTAAAATAAAATAAAATAAATAATATGCTAGATAGTGACAAATGTTAAGGGAAAGGACAGCAGGTATATGATATGTCCATGGCGATCTGTCCAAAAATGAGAAACTACCCATTAGAATTGTATTCTCAAGCTCTATATGTATTGCTAATCATTTTTGCTTTACATGTTTAGCTTACTGTATGCACTAATTTAAACCTTAAAAAGGAAAGGCTCACTGCATGTGAAATGTTTAAGTAAGGATTTGAGGAGTGAAATACCATAATCTAGCAGAAGGAATCCCAAGAACAAAGGTCTTGAGGAAAGAATGTGCCGGGTTTGCCTGAAGACCAATGAAGATGCCAGTGTCTGGATGACCAAAAGGACCAGAAGACAGCTGCGGGTTTGGGGAAAGCAGGTCTTGAAGGGTCTTTCAAGGAATGGAAAGGGTTCTTCTGGTTTCTATTCTGGGGCTACCAACTCAGGCCAACTTCTATGAGATGAGGAAAGCCACCGGAGGGATTTGAACAGATGAGAAATATGATTTACGTTGTATTTTAATGGGCTCGTTCTGCTGTGTAAAGAGCAGACTGGCACAGCAGAAGCAGAGAGCCAGAAAGTTCTTGTAGTACCATCTGTTGAGCTTCTGTTTCTCTGCCTTTCACTGCTGTATCGCAAGCACCAGGCATGTAGTTGGCAGTCACTAAGTCAATAAAACTATGAATATCTGCTAAGTGAGGAAATTATGTGCAGTATTGCAGAGCAACAGAATGAATGAATTATACATTTAAAAATTATAAATGCACATAATGATCTAAATGCAAATGTCAGTAGTTCATATTTATAATCTATTCAATTGCAATAATATTTTACTGCTACTACATATAAATGATTGTATTGTTGATTTTCAACTGATATCAGAAAACTTATATCCAAGAAGTCTGTTTTTAAAGACTTATTATTTAGAATATAATTTTTCAAAACTCATTATGTATGTTTCATTAATATAAAATATTAGATAATGTATTAAGCAAATTTAAATATATCTTATATTGTAAAATGTCATTAAATTAACTGAGTATGCAGATGAACACAAAGTATTATCTGTACAGGAACTGAAAATACAGTTTTTTCAACTCTTCTCTCAGTTTCATGTTGCTTTTTTAAACTTTAGCTGGAAATTTAACTTTTTTAATATTACAGAAGTACAAGGTATATAGGAATATATGGAGGACATTTGACTTCATCTAGAAAATTAAGAATGACTCCTCTGCTCTAGATTTACAGAATCTAAGATGTACAGAATAAAATACAAATCTGACAGGCCATGGGGATTAGGGCTTGAGGAAGGAGAAGGAGCCTGAGAATGACCTGGGGGATATTTAAATTAAGCAGCTACAGAACCCTAAAGAATTGGTCAATAATAACACAAATGAAGCTTTTGGGCTTTATCTTTGGAAATGGGAAGTCTCTGAAAGATTTTGATGACATGAATGGGACCATTATATTCAAGTTTTTAATGTATCACTCTGGTTATAACATGGAGAAGGGACTGGATTACCAGAGAGCAAGAATGGATATATAGGAACCAGGTAAGTGACTATTATATTTCAAGAGAAAAGTGACAGTGGTTTTAAGATTGTAGTAGTTTAGATGCATGTAAGTACAGAAAATTGAGATCATTGATAAGTGCATGAATAGAATTTGGTGATGGACTGGAATAAAGGCACAAAAATTTTTTCAAAAACATAGCTTCTAAGTAGCAACTGAGCACCTGGTGTGGATGGGGATGTCATTCAAAGGCAAAGGAACAAGGCTTTAGAGATGGGAAGTGAATGATTTCATTTTGGGTAAACTGAGTTTAAGGTAACTGTACAACATCCAAGGGGAGATGTCCAGTGAACACCTAGATACATACTCTTAGAGCTCTAGATATAAATTAAACCACAGTTTAAACACTGGTTGTTTTATTAGCCATGTTTGTCTTGTAGCATCTGCTGTAATAAATAAGAATGCTCAAATTGTAAGACTCAGAAAAGTGAGAGTAGTCATTCTTCTGGAAATTAAGCAAATGTCTGGTCTTTGCTATACATATGGTTTTACTCAAAAGACTATGTTAACCACAATTTTGGTTAAACTCACCCCTGAGAAATGCAGAATGTTTGTCCAATGAAAATATATACACAAAAGAAAAATGTATTTAAAATATAGTTTAAGCCTTTAAGACTATTTAAAATATAGTTTAAGCCTTTAAGACTAATTTTAATGTAAATGCATGTAAACTCTATGACATTATAGTTTATTATAACATAAATTTGTGTCTAAAGATTCAAATGCCATCACTGAAACACAGGAATCCATTAAAATATGGCCCCTTATGAGCAGTCATTTGCCAATAAATGTGTATCACCAACTGTTCAGGTAAAAAAGGACTTGTTTCTGAGATTTGTTCATTTCTATATTGTAAACACCCCCATCATGGTCAATTTCAAGTGATCAGTATGACATTAGTCACATAGCAAAATTCCTAAAAATTTTAGAATTGGCTCTTATAAGGTGGTATGAGGCAAATTAACCTCAAGCAATTACAAAGAGTTCCACCTCAAGTATTATAAGATATCCCACTGTATGTATACATATGTGTTTATTTGTAAATTTTACATATTGGTAGGTAATCATTTACATGGTAGGAAATTCAGAAGTTACAACATCCTATACATTGGAGACTGTCCCACTCATCTCTTTCTGTGAGCCACCATGTTCTTCTTGCAGCCAATCAATTTAAATTCATTACTTATATATCCTTCCATAAGTATTCATATATATATATATGTGTGTGTGTGTGTGTGTGTGTGTGTGTGCATCTTATTTAATTACTTTAAAAATTTCATTACAGTTTTCATACACTAATTTTCATCCAGCCCACTAATTATTTCTCCTCAATATTTTATTCTGAATTAATCACATTGTCACTGTCATCATTATTTTATCACTGACATTTAATTTTCCTGTTTACTTGATCAACTTTGATCCCAGGCAGAGATGGATTCACCCATAAAGCATTTTCTTTTCTGAATTTGTCAGAAAAATCATACCACCTCGCTATGAACTAATCCAGTTTTAGAACCCTGTTTAATTTGGATACTAAACTTTGTTGAATCCTCTTTAATATGTTTATAGTGTGTTGTTTCAGTTTCTTTTCTTTTTTTTTTTTTTGGTGGAACCAGGGATTGAACTCAGGCCCTTGCGCTTGCCAGGGAAGCGCTTATTCCACTGAGCCATCTCCCTGGCCCCTTGTTTCAGTTTCTTTTGGAACTCTTCTAATACCTTTTCCTCAATTTCCATATATTTTCTTTTCTGAATGCTCTTTTTTATTAATTTTATTGAGAAACAGATAGCAATGAGACAGTTTCCAAACCGATTAGTAGGACAGTTTCAATAATTAATACATTGCATATTATCTTAATGGTTATTCATAGTACAAGATGCAGACATGATATCCTGTCCAAATACTATTAGTACAAATCTTCTCACTGAATTAAGAGAAAGAGCTGTATATCTATCCTAACTATTTTGTATATACAGATATACAAAATAGTTAGTTTCAGTTTCAGTTTCTTTTGGAACTCTTCTAATACCTTTTCCTCAATTTCCATATACTTTCTTTTCTGAATGCTCTTTTTTTTATTAATTTTATTGAGAAACAGATAGCAATGAGACAGTTTCCAAACCGATTAGTAGGACAGTTTCAATAATTAATACATTGCATATTGTTATCTTAGTGCTTATTCATAGTACAAGATGCAGACATGATATCCTGTCCAAATACTATTAGTACAAATCTTCTCACTGAATTAAGAGAAACAGCTATATATCTATCCTAACTATTTTGTATATACAGATACAAAATGGTCCTCCCTTTGTATCCCCTTTTTTGTTTAGTTTTGTTAGAGAAGGGTATTCCATTGCCATTTAAATGTTGTAGGTGCATGAATTCAGCAAAAATAATCCAATATAGCCCAATAGTCCTTAATAGTAGTGGGTTATCTGTAGGACTGGCAATGTCAGAAGTTGTTGACTCGAGCCTTTCACAGCTCAGCCTATTAATATGACTTTACTTTTTATACCTCATTTTTATACTTTTCTGCTGGATTGCTAAGACCAAGATAAAGCAAGACCTGTATAACAAGAAATGTATCTTTTGTATCTGATAAGGTCAGCCAAGTACCCTTAGGATTTATCCTGTAACCCTGTACCACAGTTTGCAGACCCTTTGTTAGTGTCAGCCATGTGGATGAGTCATGGCCATTGCTTGGCCAATTTGCTGTCTGTGAAAGCCTGAGAGAATGTTTTTTCTCCATGTGACTCTCCCCAGGCACCCTCTACATCATCGATCACATTGCTCTGTGGCCCCATAATCTCCTTGATCAGAAAATCTGGGACACAACTGAGTTACATGATGTTACAGTACAGGTTCTCATGTGTCCTGAGTCTTCACTGACCTTGAAAGACTAGGGCCAAAATGTTGGCTGACCTTGCAGCCCTTCTTTTTCTCTAATTTTTGGTCTGCAAACTTAGGTTTTTAACCGTCCAGAAGGGAAGCTTATCAAGCATTTTAGGCATAACATGGAACAGGTATTTTCCATCTAGTATTGATAAGCCTCTACAGAATATGAAGAAAAAATTAAAAAAATAAAAAATATTTAAAGAACATGAAATCCCTGGTTCCACCAAAAAAAAGAATATGAATAAACAATTATATATTTTTATACAGAAATTTAGAAATCTAACCATATACAGCATTGTAGCAGGACAGTCCTGTGATATTTTTTCTTGTCTCTCTCTCTCTCTCTCTCTCTCTCTCTCTCTCTCTCATATATATATATATATATATATATATATATATATATATTCTTTTTCCATTTCAAAAAAGCAAAGATGGTGGCATAATGTAATTTGATTCACACTTTGCTGATTAGTCATTGAGCAATACAACTTGAACATGATTCTATGTCCGTACATAAAAACAAGCCTCTTATTCATGGTCATTTTGCTACAACAGTGCTGCAGTGAATATCCTTGCTCACATATCATTTCATAACTGAACATTTATGTGCTTCAGGAAGAGTCAGCAACAGATTTTGAGCAGTGAGAGATTTAAAAAATTTAATCCTGCCTTCAATTATTACTGGCATAATCATGTCACAATGTCATATTACCTCTACTCAAAGCTTGTCTTGCTGAGGCCTTCACAACGGGGCCAACTGGGATGGATGGCATAAATTCATGCTGGAGACTAAAGAGATCACAAGAAAGACATGGCGCAGTGGAGTACAAACAAAAAAAGGTATAAGATTTATGCAATGTGAACAGAAACCAGTAGATAGAAGAAGATAACTAGAAGCATCTATATCCTACCTAGTTGAGCCTACATTTCTTTGCTTCTACCAAACTACCTACCAACTGTGAAAAAAGATATCATTGATATTAGCCAATGAACTTACCATCTAACCTATGAATGAACAGTATATGACCTTTGTAGAAATACTGGACAATACAAAAAAACACAAGGAAGAAAAATGAAATAAAAAATAATTATCCCACCTGAAGATAGCCAATGTGAGTATTTTAAGTTGATATACCTCAAAATTTGTATTATTCAATTTGTATGAATATATATACAGTAGTATATGTATGTGTGCATATATATATATATATACAAAATGTGCATAGACATACATCTTGAATGTTGTTGTATATACTGTTATGTAAACAAATAATACTCCATGTCATTAAATAATCTTACATAATAGTTATTCTTTCTTTAATTTATTTTAAAGAGAATAGAAAAATAATAGATGACACATTAAAATGATATACAATTTTTTTAAAAAAGATGATAGGTAATCAACAGTGGTTGTTATATTTCACATTGTTGTCTTCGATGTACTTATTCTTATTAGAGGCCTGATGGCAGGGAATCAAATTCTTGAAAAGAAGGTGATGCTTCTAGCACAACTTCTGACTTTGAGAATTATTCATTTTGATAAAAGATGCTCCGGGAGCTGGCAAGAAAACTCAGTGGACTAAAGCACCAGCTTAGGCAAGCTTAAGCAAGCACAGGAACCGCGGTTCGATCCCTGGCACCACAGGCAGTGCCAGCCCTACCCCCAGGGCGGGCTGAGCCAGCCAGAGTCCAGGCACAGTGGCACAAGCCTGTTATTCCAGCACTGAGGAGGCTGAAAGCAGGAGGATCACCATGAGTCTGAGCTGCCTAGTGAGACCCTGCAACAACCAAATGCATTAAAAAATAATAAATAAATAAATAAAAGATGCTCCTTTGGGAAGAGTGTGGTATCCCACAAAAGATTTAAAAGGGTTTTTTAAAAAATAATTTTTTTTGTCTTTTTCAAGACAGGGTCTCACTACACAGTTCAGGCTGGCCTTCAGCTCACTTTTTTTTTAGCACAAGCTGGTCTCGAATTCTCAATGATCCTCCTGCCTCAGCCTCCTGAGTGCTGGGATTACAGGCATGTGCTATCATGCCCAGCTTAAACGTTTGTTACATGTCATCACTTACAATAGGTGAAATGAATTCCATTATTAGTCACAGTCCTTTATTTAGTCATACTGTTAAAACTTTTAGGCTGAGGAAATTATTTAGAAGTAAACAAAATTAACCTATATTAAGACATTTATTAACTTACCTGTAAGGAAGTAAACTGTCATTTTTCTTTTCCAAATAAATTAAATGTTGTCTTAGTGCTTCAACTAAACTGTGGGGTACCTAAAATGTTATTAAAGATTTAGTCTTTAGTAGTTTAGCTCTCCTATATTATTAAAATATTTTCAACAAAAATAAGGACATTCCTATTACAAATTCATCAGAGCCCAAACTATTATATGTTAATTAATTATTAAAAGTAGTGTCTTATATTAAGTCAGATTTTCAAATTTATTCTTTGGAACACATTTATAAAGCAATACAAATCTCTTAAAAGAACCAAAGGACAACTAAAATATGTATCCCCTGAAGAAAAGACATTGAGCTTGAAATAATTCATTATGTGTGGTTCCTTTACGAGGCAAGTCACAAGGTAATTTTTTGAGAGTAGAATATACTTACTGGGGGGAAAGAAAGCTCCTGTCTGAGCAAAGGATAGAAGGGGAACCGGAATGGGTTGCCCGGGAAGCTGCCTTTTCTAGGGATGTTTATAGAGCTAAACCATGTGGTGAAGTGCGTCTAAGTTGGTAAACATGGGAACTTGCTAAGTGGGCATGAGGTGAGACAAAACTATGGTCAACCAGTGACATCACAAGCACAATTGCTCAGGTAAAATTGATTAAATCCACGACCAAATGGGGAAATGAGTCACATAGCAAGTGGGCATGAATACAGAATCACGAGATAAATTTAAGCAAAGCATCAAGCCAAGTGGAGAAGAGACAGAGTAAAATGAAGAAAAAAGAGGGAAAAGAAGAGACAAAGAATCTCATTCAGGTTAGCAAATTCAAATACCACACATGTGAAGAGTCTGCTGAAGGGCCAACCTCCTTGATGGGATTTTCTGGAGTATCACTAGTTCTTTAACCGTAAGTTGTATGTTCTTTCAAAGAACTTGTTTTTACTGACATCACAGGTTTCTTTCTCTGCCCCTTTATTGTCTGTCTCCTTGTAATAGGATGTAAACTTCAAGAAAATAAGGATGTTTTCCTGTTTTGTTCACTGATGAACCTTAAATATTTGGCACACAGTAACATTTTCTGAATGCATACATGTCTTTTCATTCTCCATTTCCATTAAGAATGGAAAACACAGAGATGCTCTTACATAAGGTCAGTTTCCCACCATGGTTGTATATATTATTGTCTCTTTCCTCATTTATTATTCAGGAAGACTTTATTGATAATCTTTTAAACATTAGGTAATGCTACAAGACCAAGCAAAAGCAGCTGGGTCTCAGACTTCATGAGGTTACATTCTACAAGTCTGGGGAAGAAAAGATACTACTAATCACACAAATAAATATGAAGTGAAAGTTGTGAGAAATACCACAACAAGAGGCATATACTCAGGTACATGTTGAAGGAGGAGAACGTGACCAAGTGTGAGGGACAAGGGTTTCTAAAGGAAGCACCAGTGGCGAGTGAAGGACAGCCAGGAGGTGAACAGGCCAAAAACGAAGATGAAACAAGTTGCTAGAGCAGAAAGCCAAAACAAGCATGAGGGGGAGCCGTAGGTAGTCAGCAGTGCAAGGCCTTCAGTCAGAGGCGACTGGGGGAGTTGGGACTTTGTCCTAAGAATACTGGAAGATGGTTCTAAGGCTCTTAGGTGAGGGCTGAAATGATCATATCTGTACATTGGGAAACATGAGGTCTGCATTCTGGAAGCATTAATTATATAAAGCAGTTTTACACACAGCAGGGCAAAATCTGTGAAAGCCAACTGGTTGGAGGGGAGGACTGATGGATCCAAGAGAAAACGGTGGAGAGTGGGGGGGGCACTGAAGACCTCTCTCCAATTTGACAGGACTCTGCGGGATTAAAAATGAAGGCTGAGGAAGAGGGAATTATACATGGAAAGAGAGGAAGAGGAGCACATTTTGGAGTTAAGATGGCTGATATAGGGCTGAGGAAATAGCTCAGCGACATAAGTTTGTACCAGGCAAGCCTAAACTCAAGAGTTTGATTCCCAGTAGCAAAATAAAAAAATAAAAATAAATAAATTAGACGGCTGATACAGAATGCTGAGGCGGTGGTGAGAAGGGTTAATGAAGGAATGGTTTACAGACAAATGCATAGGGATAGGGCATGATGCACAGAGAATAAATAACATCTGTCAACATTTGAGCGATGTTCGTCGGGAGGTTTTGCCTGACTGCTCTCCAGATAACTCACCCCCAGCTGGCACTGTGCGGAAATGCATCCACCTCAGCCAAGCAGTGATGAGGAGCAGAAACCGGCTCAGAGCTGCTCGGCAGCAGACATCCCGGCGCTCGGGCTCGCGCTCTTGCTGAGCCCAGCCGGGCGGGCAGAGCCAACTGGGGCCGGGTAGAGCCGAGCCGAGCCGAGCCGAGCCGAGCCGAGCCGAGCCGAGCCGAGCCGAGCCGAGCCGAGCCGAGCCGAGCCGAGCCGAACATGGGAGGGGAGGGAGAAGGAGGGGAGGGGAGGGGGAAGGAGGGGAAGGGAGGGGAGGAGGGAGGGAGGGGAGGGGAGAAGAGGGTAAGGCAGGGGAGGGCAGGGGAGAGGAGGAAGGGAGGGGAGGGGAGGGGAAGGGAGGGGGATGGAGGGGAGAGGAGGTTACAGGAGGGGATGGGAGGAGAGGGTTCCCGTCCCTTCTCTTGTCTCAGGCATTTGGAGAAAGCTGAAAGCGCCAGGCAGCCGTCACCCCACACCTGCAGATGTCACCCCAGCAGGGCACAGCAGAGAGGGGCTCACATCGCAGCTGCGCAGGGGATGGAGGGGAGGGGAGGCTCTGTGACTCCCAGGCCAGCCATGGCCAGGGCAGAGAGCACCCAGGAGAGGAGCAAGACTTCCTCCCGACCAAGGCAGACAGAGAGAACCCAGACAGAGGGCGCTCTTGGGGGCCTCGGCCTGGAGCCTGGATGCCCAGAAAGCACAGTGCACTGTGCCGCTGGAAGACACCCACGGTCCTTTGCCCCCAGCCAGCCCTATTGGTGTTTTTATTTTGAGACAGGCTCACACAGGGTCTTCCAAGCTGGGCTCCAACTTGCGAGCCTCCTGCCTCAGCCTCCCAGAGTCCTGGGTACAGGCGTGCGAGGCCACCACACCTGGCAAGAAGGAAAACCTAAACATCCCTCCCTCTGTGGGACTAGCTGAGAAGGCGCCTTGAAACCCTGCACCGTGTTCTGCAGCTCTCTTTTCTCTGTCTCTGTCTCTGTCTCTGCCCTCTCACATGCACACACATAACCACTGCCCCAGTGGAGCAGAGTGGGGATGAGGCCACCACCCTACGTGGCACGGGCTCAGGACTCCGGAGGAAGCACATGGTCTCTGCGAAGTTCTGCCAACTGAAGCCTTGACAGAGACGTTCTGTGCTGGCTGGAGCCAGGCCCGGCGGCGCTGATAAGCAGGCTCTTCCTGGAAACAGCCGGCCCAAGGGAACACACAGGGTGCGTGTGGGCCAGAGGACACAGGGGGCAGCGTGGTCGGGTAGCCAGGCTGCACCTTGGCCACCTTTGCTGCATTGTCACTTTTGGTTCAGGCCACACTCGTGGTCACAGGGAGAGAGATGCGTGGTGACCAGCTGCTCTGCTGGGGAAACCTCAGCTCATTTGATTCTCACAACAGTGTTAGGAAACAGGCAATAGCATTACACCCTTTTGCAGCTGTATAAATGAGGAAGAGAGAATGGCAATCAGTGCCTGCGATCACACAAGCAGAAGGTGGAAAAGGCTCCAAACTAAGTTCATTATTCCAAATATCATGCTGTTACCACTGATTATTTCTGTCAATTTAAAAAGCAGGATGTAGCTATTATTCCATGAGACATTGTATATGTGTGTGTACATGTTAAAAATATTAGTTATTGAGGAAAAAAAGGAGTATTTAACAGAAGATATAGCATATGATAGATACAGTATAACAAAAGATATAGGCATAGGGCAAAAGATTTTCAGGTAATGATTAATGTAATAAATAGACAAAAAGTAGAAAAAGGTCATTTAAATACATAGGTCACTGACCTGAGCAAAACACGGAATGTTGCTCTGGTAAAGTCCAACTTCCTGAATTCACATAAAAAGGAGAAAAAAGGTACACATCATTACAGCAGGGAATTACACCAAAAATATAGCTGACTGACCACTGTATACACAAAAAAGAAAATACTCTAAGCGTATGATGTCTTTCTGTGTTAGGTCAAGAAAAACACGCCAGACAAAATTGTGTGTTGCACATTTGAATACCAGTTTCTATTCATCCTAAGGATGGACTCTAACAGAATATCACACTTGCAGGAATTTATTCTTTACTCTTTGGGGAAGAATTGCGCTATATTTTAGCCATCAGAGAAATGTGTTCTAATTTTTCAAGCACTGTAGTCAGAAGCCAGTCATTTTTTGTGCTGTTACTGTTCTCCTTGGCTTTCAGCAGTGTTACTACACCACTTGTTGAGGGTTGGCCCTGTTTGTCTTGCATGGGTTCTACTGAGGATCAGGCAAACATGGGGCTCTGACCAGGTATTTCTTTCTCTCGCAGAACACAGACCTGTTCCACCCATTGTTCTCCACTTGGAGACAAGACAGGTCATGCACCTTTTGGTCTAGTTTTGCAGCTATTTCTGGTGGGACAGGAAGCCTGATCTGGGTTGTCCTCATGGCTGCAGAGAGATGTCTTCAGAAGACTGATTTGAGCACAAGTGCATTGATACTGCATGTGAAGTACCTCCTTGCAAGTTCTAGTTTTACTGTCTACACGGTAGTTAAAACTACTATGAATTTTTCTGTGTGCCAAAAGCATTGAGGGAAGAAGTGTAGTAATACCTGATATTAAATTTAAGAGAGAAACAGCAGAAACTCCTTAGAAGTGGATTTCTTTACCTTCGCAACTCTCAGGAACTGTGTCAATTTGGTTGTTCTTCTGAGGAACTTGATGTAAATATCCAAACTTTCCTTGCATTGGTTTATCTTCATGTTAAAATACTTGTCTAAATGCAGAAAAAATTACCATGTGAAGAAAGTCAGAAATTTCTTAATTGACCTTAGTGAAAACAGGCTTTAATGTGTGATATATAAATACAGAAATGCATGTTGATTCTTGCACAATTTCCCAGAAATATCAGTTAGCAGTTATAAAAAAATGGAAAATTTCTATGGTTATTTTAAACTACGTAAGCAATATAATATCTGATTATTTAAAATATGTTACCCCTATAATGTCTATTTTGAATTTATATACAGAAATAAAAAGCTTTTTGCAAATAATTTTTTACCAATATTTTATCCTCTTAAAAGTAAGATTGTGATAAGCTTGAGTCATTTTTAGGTAAATGGATACACCTTGAGACCATAATTTTAGATGAACTAAATCAGACATACAAATTTAAATATACATTATTTCTTTTGTGTGAGAAACCCAAAGAGTAAATAAGGAGCAGAATGGAGGAGAGCTACTGAGAAGTAGGAAGAACATGTCTAAATAGGAAAGGGGACAAGGAAGAAGGTAGGGAAAGGAAAAGAAGAGAAAAGGGATTTAAAACAAAAAGAAAATGAAAGGAAAAATGGAAACAAACCTTTTGTAAATGGGCAGGGGAAGAGAGGTTGAAGGGAGAGGAAGGGAATGGGAAGAAAAGAATAATCAAGATATATCCTACATGTAGGGCTGGGGATATAGCTCAGTGGAAAAAGCATGTGCCTGGAAAGCAGAAGGTCCTGAGTTTCAATTCCTGGTACAAAAAAAAAAGATATATACTGTACAGGTACAGATTCCCTATGATGAATGCAATCATTATGGATGGCAAATATATACTAATAAAATATTAAAGGTTAAAAAATACAATCCCCCCAAGTCATGTTCCAGCTTTATCATACCTAGCAGATTAAGGATCCCTTCATTGTAGGCTGCAAAGAGACGAAGAGAATCTTTAAAGAGCAGCAGGAAAGCAGCATGTATTATACTATTAGTTAGTTCATCTGGAGTTGCCTGGAAATAAAAAGTAAAGCACTTACTCTAACAGTTAAAAATAAACCCTTCCCCTACCCATAGTTTAATCATGTCACTTATCAATATTTTAAAATGGTTTCTTAAAACTCTTACATTAAAATTTAGAAGAGCATCAAACTGGATTTGAATAACTGGAAGTGTGTCTAGGAGCTGTTTGGTATTCATAGTTCTCATTGCACCGTCTCTCCTACAAAGGATGGAAGAAATTCATAAACATCAGTAATTAAGAGATTGAGAATCCCTGTGATATTAGCATCTGGTGGTTTTTTTTTTTTTTTTTTTTTTTTTTGTATTTTAGGGAAGGATCTACAGGGTGTTCAGGGTCTCACTACTACATCAGACTTGTAGTGATCCACCTGTTTAAAGCCTCACAAGAGCTGGGATTACAGGGGCGTGCCACCACACCCAGTCTCAATTGCAATCTCAGTGGGCCTTGCAGGTGGAGCCAGTATGGCAGGCCAGAGGATTGAAACCCCGGCCCCTGCTCCTGCTCGCAGGAGCTTTAATCCGCTGAGCTATTTGGCCAGCCGGATATTAGCATCTTAAAACAGAGTTGCATTTTTGACAAACCACAAAGCAAAACAAATATATGTCAGCATTCACTTACAAGCTAAAAGTTTTACTTACCCTCTCTTGGTTTTTGTGATGTCAGATGCTATGAATCTATATGACAGTGACTTTTCATTCAAATACTTGCTGTATCGTCTGATGAAGGTTGACATAGAGTAGCCTAAAAACAAGAGGTGTTGATCATTTCCAATGCAACCAAATTTAGTTACAATATGTCCATAAATGCAAAGACTTAATCCATGTTTATCCAGATATAGCTAGAAAATAATGCACAAAAGCTAGAAGGCTTTTATTGGTCATCTAGCCTGATGTTCTGCAAGCACCTGTTAAAGATGTTTTTATTTGATATCATCTGTGATGTGGTATTGAATGGGGAAAGTAACTGAGCTTCAAACAGCTGCTTTCAGAGGAAGCTACTGTCAATTCTCGGCATTTTTCCTACTACCCCCAGCCCATGACCTCCAATCTGCTCCAATCTTTCTGCACATAGCAAATGACCTTGCCTCCTATTCATAGATGAAGTGCAGAAAGGCCACAGCAGCATTTAATATGTTGTTGCCAACCTTCAAGTGTACCTTGATTCAGTTGTTCAATTTGTTTGTACAGTGAACGATTACTGAGCACCTCTTCCAAGTCAGGCCATCCTGTAGGTGCCGAAGTTTAGCAGTAAATGAAACAAAACCAAGAAAAGTCTCTGCCTTCACAGGCCTTACATCCCAATAGGGACTGACAGGAAGCAATGCAAAAGTAAAAGCAGATGTTGAGAAGTAGAAAGAGTAAAGCTGAGACAGAGAAGTGGCCTAAGGGTGAGCTGTGATTTTTCGTAAGCTACATGAGTCCTCAGTGAGTGAATACCTAGAGATCTCATTAATGCTCCTGTCTCTACCACACAATATATTTTGTTATTCCCAAGAAGCACCCAAATATGTATTACAGGGGCTGGGGAGATAGCTCAGTAGAACAAGCACTTGTCTGGCAAGTGCAAGGTCCTGAGTTCAATCCCCAGTACCACAAAAAAAAAATGTATTACAGTAATGAAGTTAAGGATTACTTCACCAAGCATACATAACAACACACCTTTCATAATTTAGAACCATTTTCTTAACTCAGTATAATTTCCTTCTTGCCACATAGAAATGTTCCATCAAAGACTCCTCTTACCTTCTAGGACACTGTCATCCAGGAAGTTGTGCAAAGTGAACAAAGAGTCTCGAGATGCAAGGTGTTGGATAAAACGCTGTCAAAAAAAGTATGCCAAATTCTAAAATTAATTTCTGCACAAGAGAGTTAATTAATAAGCACAATCATACATATATGGGCTAGCTAAAATAAAGACAGTGGTGCCATAGATGGTTCCCTATTTATAGAAATAAGATCAACTTAACCAGCGAAGCTCATGTCAATGTACACTTTTCCCCCAAGGTATTTTGGGGTTTTGTTGGTTAGTTTGTGGGGTTTTCTTGTTTGTTTTGGCGGTACCGGGGATTGAACTCAGGATTTTGCTTTATTTATTTATTTATTCAGTCAGGGTCTCTATGGAGTTCTGTCTGGCCTCAAAGTCCTGGAGACCGTCTTCAGCTTCCTATGCCCAGCGCACCCCAAGACACTTTGTCTAACCATGACTCCCCTTTTGAATCACAGCATAATACAAAGTATAATGTGCTACATCAGGGTTCCCCACTACCTAGAAATGACAACTGCTAAATTTAGATCAGCACAATTTATAATAGCTAAATTGTGGAAACAGCCCATATGTCCATCAATAGATGAACAGGCAAAGAAAATGCAGCATTTGCACACAATGGAGTACCACTCTGCCATAAATAAGGACAAGCTTGAATCATTTGTAGAAAAATGGATGCACCTTGCAGCCATCATCTTAAGTGACATAAATCACACACACAACTTTAAATATCACATTGTTTCTCCTGTGTGAGAAACCCAAAGAGTAAGAGGCAAAATAAGGGAGAGATAGCAGGAAGTAGGAAGAACTTATTCAAATAGAGAAACAAAGAGATTGGACTTGGGGGAAGGAAGAGAGGAAGAAAGGAAGGAAAAGGTGATTTAAAGAAAAGAAAGAACTGGGCTGGCGAGATAGCTCAGTGGACTACAGCTCTTGTTTAGCAAGCTTAGGCAAACACAGGGACAGCGGTTCGATCCCTGGCACCACTTGCTACTCCAGCCCCGCCCCCAGCATGGGCTGTGTCAGCCAGAGTCTCAGCGTAGAGGCGCAGGCCTGTAATCCCAGCGCTGAGGAGGCTGAAAGCAGGAGGATCACCATGAGTCTGGGCTGCGTAGTGAGACTCTGCAACAGCCAAATACATTTTTAAAAAAGAAAAGAAAGGAAAACTGGACATAGAGCTTTTCTGAATGGAGAGGTGGCTAAGGTTCGGAGGGAAGCTGTGCTGTGCACATCCCCACACTGAGTGTGCTCAGGGCGCACTGCAAACACATGCAGTACAAAACATCCAAAGAAACATATTGCCCTGTGTTTTCTTCAATTTCAGAATTTAGTTTTTCACATTTATGTATTTCATCCTTAGGGAATTTATCTTTGTACATGGAGCAAGATAAAGATTTCATTCTGTTTCTTTCTGCTGGGCTTTATTTTAAAGACTTTCCTCTCTATTTTTCCCACATATTGTTAATATCACGAACCTCCCACATAAGCATGGTTTTAATTGTGGGATCGATTATGTTCTATCTATATACATGTTCTGTTTTCATCCATATACACTGTGCACTTATTACTGCTTTATAAGTTTCCAAATACTCCAACTTCTACACTTTAATTTTAGTATAACTCTTACTGAGACAATGTGTGAACTTAAAATAGAAAATACTTTAATGTCAGAGCATTTTAGTTCTGTGAAGTATGAGGAGTGTGTGATGTAACACACTTAGCTATCTGGTCCCTCCTCACCCCAGGAAGCAAAACATTTATGCAAATATATTTGGGGGGAGGTGATCTAAATTATCTAAAAAGTCATCTAAATATCCACTCTCTTATGTACCTGGGCCTACTGGTGTGTAAATAGTATACCTCAAAGCATGCTGACTTCAATGATATAATAAGTACAATGAAAAAAAAACCCTTCTTCCACTTGTTGCTAATGAAAATAAAAAGTGGGAAGCCTTGGACAAAACAGCAACTCTGCCCTTGTGCGCTGGAAGCATGGAAACAAGTGCCACGGTATAGGCAGCCCCACACTCACCTCATTTCCATGCACCATGAGGTGATGTATGGTAACCAGGGCTTTGAACACCACCACCCAGCTGCTGCTCCCAGTTCTCTCAGAAAGAACATTAGCTAGATGCTCAACGCTTGCATTGCTTTCATTTACGCACTTTGTAAGATCTAAATTAGAGACAGGAACAAACATTATAACACAGACTGAGAACTGTCAGTTCATATCATGCAACTTCCCCAAAGTTAACATTCATTTCATTTTCCCATCCAATAACATGCAATGTATAAAGAAAGATAAACGTAGATCATTTGCAGGGAGCTGGGTACACTTTGAGGTCACAATGCTAAGTGAAATAAATTAAACACAGAAGTTTAAGTATTGCATGGTTTCTCTTATATGAGAAACCGAAAGTATAAAGAACAAAATAAAATGGGACAGAAAATGGAGTGATGGAGGGAGGGGGAAGAAGGGAATGAAAAGGAAATGAAGATGTGTCGTGCACGTTCACTGCTGCTCCATGATGAATGCAACCATTATGTGGGCCAAACATGTACTAATAAAAGTATAAATTAAACAATAAAACATAATGGATTCCTTATTTTTATCATGTGAACATCCTCTTTCTTTTCAAAACTGTCTAAAGGTCCTCATAAGACAACTTTATATGTAGCTTTTATTGATTTGTCAGCATTTTTGTATGCCTAGCACTGGTATACCGACCGAAGAGAGTCCTTACCAAATATTCTAGTACTAGAGCACTAGGTTGACCCAAACTGGACCCAGATTCACTTCCTCACCAACAGCACATACTTGGGGCCAACCCTAGTATCTGCCAGCGCTGTATCATGTTGAAGCACATGAAGGATGAAATTCCTTCATTTGTAGTCATCTGCAAGTCTGCTTTTTTGTCCTTTTCTGCAATTTTCCTCTGAAGGCTCTTTGTGTACTTTCCCTAATTATTTCACCTTGTATTAATTCTCAGGCTCTCGTGATGTGGACTCTAGGGCCCCCTTTCTTTTCTTCTTCAGATAGCTAATTGCTGCTAATCTTCTGGGTCTTGAGGAGCCAGTTCTGCTACATAATTATATACCCATCCAGGAGCTGGATAGTGTAAGTTTTCCAAGAATGTACTACATAGACAGCCCAGAATAATGCTCAGCACACTGAAAGTATATAAAGGAAATAAAAAACTGAAAGCCTTCACTTTAAAATCAGAATCAAGACAAGGATGTCCACTGCCACCACTCCTATCCAATAGAGTTCTAGAAACATCAGCCAGAGCAATTAGACAAGAAAGAGAAATTAAAAAGAATAAGTATTGGAAAGAAAGAAGTGAAATTATCATTATTTGTAGATGACATGATACTCTTCACAGAAGACCCCCCAAAACTCCACTGAAAAAATGCTAAACTTAATAATCAAATTCATTAGTATAGCCATATGCAAAGTCAACACTCAAAAATGAATAGCATACTGAAAAAAAATGAATAGCATTTCTTTACACAAACAACAAACACACTGAGAGGGAAATCAGGGAAACCATGCCTTTCACAATAACGTCCCTCAAAATGATATACTTAGGAATCAATCTTGAAAAGGAAGTAAAATATTTACACAGTGAAAATCATAGAACTCTGGAAAGAAAGATCATAGAGGACTTAAAAAATGGAAAAGGACCAGGGATTTAGTTGAGTGTCCTAAGTACCTCCATGACAGGTGCAAAGTCCTCAGTTCAAGTTTTGGTAGAAAGAAAGAAAAAGAAAGAAAGAAAGAAAGAAAGAAAGAAAGAAAGAAAGAAAGAAGAAAGAAAGAAAGAAAGAAAGAAAGAAAGAAAGAAAGAAAGAAAGAAAGAGGGAGGGAGGAAGGAAAAAGGCAGAAAGAAAGAAAGTGAAAGAAGAAAATGGGAACATATTCCTTCCTCATGAATAGGAAGAACCAACATTGTGAAAATGGCCATAATCTCAAAATTGTTATACAGATTCAATGCAATCCTGATTAAAATACCATTAGTATACTTCACAGATCTAGAGAAAACATTCCTAAAATTCATCTGGAACCAGGAGAGATATAGAACAGCAAAAACAATCCTTGGCAACAAAGGAAAGGCAGGGGGCATCACAATCCCTGACTTAAAATTATACTACAAAGCTACTGTGATAACATCAGCATGGTACTGGCCAAAAGCAGAACTGAGGACCAGTGGAACAGCTTAGAAGATGCAGACACACTTACAAACCCAGTCACCTTATCTTTGACAAAGGGACGGAACATGCACACTGGAAGAAGGATAGCCTCTTTAATAAGTGGTACTGGGAAAACTGGCTTTCCACCTGTCAAAGGCTAAATCTAGACCCATGTCTACCAGCAGGCACTAAAATAAAGTCAAAATGGATCAAAGATTTAAATATTAAAACAGAAACACTAAATCTTACTGGAGAAGAAAGTAGGCAGAAATCTTGAAAATATAGGTGTAGGCAGAGAGTTCATGAACAAAGACCAAACTGCATAGGAAATACTTCAAAGAATCAAAAACTGGGATCTCATCTTTTGAAAAGTTTTTGAACATCAAAATAAACCATCAACAGAGCAAAAAGAAAACTCACAAACTGAGCAAAAATTTTAGCCAACTCCCCCTCAGACAAAGGACTACTATCTAGAACATATAAAGAATTTAAAATAATCAGACCCCCCAAATTCAAAAACCCAAGTCAAAAAATGGGCATCTGAGATGAATACACACTTCTCAGATGAAGAAATACAAATGACAAATAAATATATGAAAAAAATGGTCAACGTAATTGGTCATTCAAGAAATGCAAACTAAAACAACACTAAGATTCCACCTCACCCCAGGAAGGATGGCTATCACCAAGAAATCAACCAACAACAAATGCTGGAGGGGCTATGTGGAAAAAGGAGCTCTTATTCACTGCTGGTGGGAGTGTAGGCTGGTACAAGCACTTTGGAAATCAGTGTGACGATTCTTCAGACAACTAGGATTGGAGTTCCCATTCAACCCAGCTCTTCCCCACCTGGATATTTTTCCCGAACAACTGAAAATATCATACCACAGGGATATATGCTACGTTTATAGCAGTGCAATTTGTCATAGCTAGATCTTGGAAACAAGATCAAATGCACATCAACTGAGAAATGGATAAACAAAGTGCTGTTTCTACACAATGGAGAAAAAGATAAACTCAAAGCTTTTATGTATAAATGGATACAACTAGAGAATATACTCAAAAGTTCAATAAATCAGACCCACATGTGTGAATATTATATTGTCTCAGTAGTGTTGGAACATGAAAGAATAAATAAAATCTAAAAGTTACAATAAATACTGTGAGAGGAAATTAAAGTGTTCAAAGGGAAGGAACAACTGGGGTGAGGGAAAGGAAAATACAAAAAAGGAAAGGATATATATATGGGATAGCTTGGATAATTGTACTGGTGATTTCTATTCATCTATTGAAAGGAACAGTTCATGCTTAATTTTTAATTTTTTTTCTTTTTTAAGTTTTTGCACCAATTTTGCGTGATTACATCTAGTAATCTGAATAATATGAAAACAACCATTTGCAAAATAACAACCATTGTTGAATTCCTATCGTTTTGTTTAGTGAAATTCTGTATTGTTTCCTTTTTTGGCTATTTTTTATTTGCTTTGAAAAATAAAAAATAAAGTATTTGAAGGAAATCAATATGTTTAACTCTCTGAACTGTCAGTTTCCATGCACATTATCATAAGCTAAAATTTCTGAGGACAAATGTAGATTAAGTCACTCCATAAATTTCAAGCAAAATAGCAAAACGAGGAGGTGAGCAGAGGTGTGATTGAGTTGTGCCACTTTCTACAGCAGTAGGCTTGCTGTGTATTGCTGATAGTTACTGTACACTTGGAGCTGGAATAAGAGGCAGGCAGGTTAGACTGGAAGCCGGTCATTGGAACAACAGGTTGCCTTAAGAGTCAAGCTCTTTTGCCTAGGAACACAGACAGAAATGTTGCTGTGACAGTCCGAAGGCTATTTAATGGGCCTACTCTTAGGAGGTGCTATAAAGGACCATACTCAATAGAACTTCTTAGGGCCAGCCAAATAGTTCAGTGGGTTAAGCAACCAAGCGCAGGGGCTGGGGGTTCAACAGCCAGTGGGAGCACTTGGGAGGCTGTAAACAGGCACATCACTAAGAGTCAGATCCAGTAGTGAGACTCTGAACACCCTGACCCTGTAAAGAAACAATTTCTTTAAAACTTTTTTTTTCCATTTTACAGAGTCTCACTACACAGCATAGTGATCTTCTTTTTTAGCCTTCCCAGTGCTGGGATTACAGCCCTGTGCCACCATGCCTGGACTGGGTCGCAGCTTCAGTGCGCCCTGGGGGCAGGCCCCGCAAGGCATGCAGAACGGGGATCCAATCCTCGTACCCGCACTTGCCAAAGCAGGCACTTAGTCCACTGAGCTATATCGCCGGCCCTTCTGGAACTTGTTGAATGTCCCGGTTTAGAAGAGTACGGTGGGCTGGAAACTTCTAAGCAGCCTGGATTGTCTCACAAACCTCTGTCTCCTATCTAAATGAGTTCAACATCTTCTAGCTCCTTCGGTGTCTGACGGCTCAATTTAGGGTTGCTACTGTAGTAGGAGTTCCAACGTTCCGGCTGCAGGGGCCGGGGCTCGGGTTGGAGGCCAAGGCGCTGTCCTTCCTTACAGAGGCTCCCCTACTGGCACCACACTGGCTGCACACCCCGACTGAGCCTCCTACTTACCGGCCAGGTGTCTTGCCTCTGGTTTCGTAGGCACATTGGTGGTTGCCCTGAGGGCGACCTTGGACAAGGAGGAGCCCATGTGTGCGTCGCTGGCCGCCAGGCACAAGGGTGATGACTGAGGTCAGATCCCAGATCCTCTGCTCCGCGCCTGACGAGGGCCGCACCTCCACCAGTGGCCCCTGCAACTAAATCTTGTTAAGGATGAGGAGCTCCATTGACGGAAGAAAGGCCTGGCCTCTCACAAGGTTCTCACCAGGCAACCTTTCCTTCCCATGGCGTGACGCAGAGCCCCAGCATTGTGAGTTGGAACCTGCACATGTGAGGTACCGGGTCTCAAGCCAACGCCAGAGAAGACGGCTGGGGGGGGGTGTGGAAGACCCCAAATGATGCCCCCAGGATTCTGCCCATTTGGGTGGGGCATTTCCAGAAGGGCGCTCTCTCTCTATTTCAAAATTTATTTACCAAAATAAAAATAATTTAAAGAAGATTAGTATTTTCTTCTGCAGACTCTAATCTGCAGTCAGTCCTATCCAGAACATGTATTTCTAATAGTTTACATTTCCAAGAACTTCCATTTGGATCTTTTTGTACCTTCCATTACTCTCTTGATTAAGTTCACGTTTTCCCCTAACCCTCTCAAGATATTCATAATAGTTATAACGATCATTTTAAAATGTGTGCTAATTTACTATGTTTGATATTTTGTGTTATATTTGTATTGACATTTTTCTCTTGTGTATTGCTCATGTTTTTCTCTGTTCCTATGCCCAGAAATTGCTGTTTCAGTGGCAGACATTTTAAACTGTGCTTTGGAAAGTATTCTGGCACACACTATTTCCAGAACGTTGAAGTTTGTTTAGAAGGGCACATGTATTACTTTCAAATCACTGCTACACTTCCAACAGCGTTTTAATAGCCTTATTAATATTTCATTAATATCTTATACCATTTTCCCATTGAAAGTATGTGTTTATCAGTATATTGACAGAATTGTGCAACTATCATCAATCTGAGTTTCTAACATTTTCATCACTTTCTTTTTTTAATGTATTTGGCACAGCATCTCACTACACAGCTTGGACTCATGGTGCTCCTCCTGTTTACAGCTTGCCCAGTGCTGGGATTACAGGTGTATGTCACCATGCCCAGACTTGGTGGCTGGCTCAGAATACGTGATTGAACTTCGGTTCCCACGCTTGCCTAAGCAGGTACTTAGTCCACTGAGCTATCTTGCCCGCCCTTCACTTTCATCACTTTCAAAAGAAAACCTTAGCCAGGTGCGGTGGCACACACCTGTAATCTCAGCACTTGGGAGGTTGAGGCAGGAGGAACCTCACAAGTTCGAGACCAGCCTGGGCTACAAAGTCAACTCAAGGCTATCCTCAACTGCATAGAGGCCCTGTCTTAAGAAGATTAAATAAATAAACGAATAATTAACTTAAAAAAGCCTTTCCCATTTAGTAGTCTACTTTTCTCTAAAACTCCCAGCCTTACACAAGCAACAATCTGTTTCCATCTCTAAATTTTTATATTCTGGGAATTTATACAAATGGAATCATACAATATATACCTCTTCATGACATTTTCACTTACATAATATATTTGAGGATCATTCGTGTTATAACATTATCAGCACTTCATCCCTTTTTACAGCTGAATAATGTTCTACTGTCTGTGTGAACTACAATGTGTATGTTTAAATTTGTGAGGAATTGCCAACGTTTTTAGAATGAACAGCTAGTCAATCATTCTGCATTCCTACCAGCAATGAATGAGAGTTTTAATTTCCCTACATCCTTGGCAATATTTGTTTTTGATTATAGCCATCCTAGTAGATGAGAAGTATCTCAGTAGTTTTCATTTGCATATCCCTGATGACTAATGATTTTGAGCAAGTTTTCATATGCTCATAAAAATTTGTGTATCTGCTTTGGAGAAATATCAGTTCCAATCTTTTGCTAACAAGTAGTTTACTACTGAGCTACGTTCTCCACCCTTATCCATTTTTAAATTGTGTTCTTTGTCTTCATTCATAACTTATGACTTCTCTATATTCTGAATCCATGCCCCTTATGAAGCATATAATTTGCAAATATTTTTCTTCCATTTTTCCTCTTTACTTTCTTGATGGTGACCATTGAGGTAATTGTTTTTTTTTTTTTTTGACAAAATCTGATTTACCTACTTCATTGCTTATGCTTTTGGCATCATAGTTAAAGATCCTTTGCCTAATCCTAGGTTATGAGTATTTGCTTCATGTTATTTTCTAAGACTTGTGGTTTTAGCTCTTATGTAAGTCTATGACATGTTTTGAGGAAACTTTCTGTGTATGATGTCAAGTAGGGGCCCAACTTCATAACTTTTCTATTTGTCCTGAAATTATTTGTTGAGCAGACTGTTTTTACTCCATTGGATGATTTTGGCACCCCTATAGAAAACCAATTAAGGGCTGGCAAGATAGCTCAGTGGTGTAAAGCGCCTGCTTAGGCAAGCTTAGGCAAGCATGCAGGGCCCTCGGTTCGATCCCCAGCACCACATGCCATGCCAGCCCTGCCCCCAGGGGGTGTGAGCTGACCACAAAAAAGAAAAAAAAGGAAACATTAAAAAAAAGAAAGAAGGAAAAGAAAACCAATTGACCACAGCATATGTTTATTTCTGGACTCCAATTTGGTCTAAATGTCTAGCTTATGCCAATATCACACTGTCCTATTTTAGGTTTGTACTAAGTTTTGAAATCAGCAAATGTTAGTCATTTTTTACTATGTTCTTTTCTAGGATTGTTTTGGCTACTCAGGGGCCCTGAAATCCATCTGAATCTGAGGATCAATTTATGAATTTCTAGCATTCTGCTAGGGACTCTTGAAATTATTAATGATTTGGGAAGTAGTACAATACTAAACGAAGTAAGTTTTTTTAACCGTAGGATATCTTTTCCATTTCTAATCCTGAATATTTTATTATTTTAAATGCTATTATAAGTAGAATTGGCAACTTCATCTCTAATCATTGCTAGCACA